AGCAGGCTGATTAATGCCCAATATCCAGAATGTGGTCAAGTAGTAGTGACAGCGGGCAGATCCGCCCTCAGTTCTCTCCATGTGAACCGGATGATGGAATGGCTGATCACTGCTTGATTTCCCCCATGTAAGCAGATAGCTCTAGCGGGCAGATTAATGCCCAATATTCAGAATGGGCTCAAGTAGTAGTGGCAGCGGGCAGATCAGCCCCTCAGTTCTCTCCATGTGAACGGGATGATGGAATGGCTGATCACCGCTTGATTTCCCCCATGTATGCGGATAGCTCTAGCGGGCAGTAGTAGTGGCAGCGGGCAGATCAGCCCTCAGTTCTCTCTTCGTCAACAGTCCACAGGATGATAGAACGGGATAATCAGCGGGCAAATTAATGTCCAATATTCAGAATGTGCTCAAGTAGTAAGAACAACGGGCAGATCAGCCCTCAGTTCTCTCCATGTCAACGGGATGATGGAATGGCTAATCACCGCTTGATTTCCCCCATGTATGCGGATAGCTCTAGCGGGCAGTAGTAGTGGCAGCGGGCAGATCAGCCCTCAGTTCTCTCTACGTCAACAGTCCACAGGATGATAGAACGGGCTGATCAGCGGGCAGGTTAATGTCCAATATTCAGAAGCTGCTCAAGTAGTAGGAACAACGGGCAAATCAGCCCTCAGTTCTCTCCATACCACCCTTCAAATTCTCAAGTCCACTCCCTCTACTCTCACCCACGCGCTCTCCCGTTCAACAAATCTGATATGGTAGGAGCCAGGTGAGTGCAATAAAATAAATAAATAAATAAATAATAATAACAATAATAAAAACGAGCAAAAGGACCCTCTCTCACACACTCACTCGACTCTCTCTAATTGGCTCTCTCCCATTCACTCCAACAGTCACGTTCTCCTCTTTCGTTCTCATTCCCGCTAGTGGACGATTCCTCACTCTTTCGTCAGTTGATACAGATGCTACCCGACCAGCAAGCTAGTTCACTGGCTCAAATTCAAATGCACTTGGACGCGGACAGATCCAGATGCGTGCGCGCGCTATCCAAAAAAAAAAAACAGGAAAAAAAAAAACAATAGAGCAAACTGTTCTCTCTTATCTCTCTCTCACGCACGTATGCAGTTGCGATCTCCCGTCAACACCGGAGGCCGCTACGCACGCCCTTGCACATTCGACCCAGACTCTCCATACATCTGACTCGTCCCCATCATCTTTCTCGGCAATCCCGTTGAGAAGTCAACTGACCGGACAGGGATAATGGACACCTGGCGCGCTCTCCCTGAAGCGCCCTGACCCCGTCCAGCGCCTGCTTGATTCTCCCTGATCACTCCCTGAGAACCTGCGCTCCCGTTTCCAGACTGCACGTCCCCCTTCTCTCTCACTCTCCCTCTCACACGCGAGTAACCACCTGAGCGCCGACGCGTCTCCCCCGTGCTTGCACTCGCGGGTACGCCTTGTTCGCGTCCGGCTCTCCCCTCTCTCTCGGCGTAATCGCCTGGGCGCCGATGTCTCCGCCTCGAGCTTGTCTCCCACTCTGCAACTGCTTGACGCCGGGCACACCTGGCATGCAATCCCATTCCCTTCACTGTTCTCCCCTATATCCCCTTCAGTCCCATGGTCTGACCGAGCAGGGCCTTCTCGGAGTGCAAGTGTGCAGGAAGTAGTCGGCCGCGCGACGGAGGAAAAAGAAAACAGTGGTACCGGTCTCACAGGCTCGGCGTCCACAGTACCCAGGCACCAGCTTCAGCCCACTGGCGTAGACAGCTCCGACGAGTTTCGCAATGGTTCCGAGCCGAGATAGTCCCCTACATCCCCCTCCTTGCCACGGGCTTTAGCGGGTCAGTGATATTTGAGCGACTAAGCACTTAGGCCCGTATTGGCGACGGCGTCGGGGCAGGGGCCCCCATGCGGATCCTCCTGTACTGCCAGTTTCCGCACGGTACCTTGCGAAACCGCGTGGCCCTTCAGACCCTGCACTACCAGTAATCTTCGGGTAGTAGAAGTAGTCCCTTGAGCCAGGCAAGCTGAGCCCAATCCCACCAAAAAAAACAAACAAAAAAAAACAGCTCTGCAGCCAACCCCCCCTTAGTTTGCATATGTCTAAAGGTTAACACTTCTATCTGCCGCTGACCACACTACCCGTATACGGACAGTTTGACGGTACCAAGTCCCATAGAACCGGAGCAAATGTGGCAATCTCCAACCGATCGCTGGATCAGCGCGCGTAAGTGTCCCAGACTAGTACACACACGAAAATAGTGGTACCCCGTTGCGGTRTCCCATGGAACAAGTTGCGGCRTCACCATACCAATTCCGAACCTTGAACTAGCCAACTAGAACTTGTCTCGACGTTATATCTCAGCAATCCGTACCTGTCAATGTCAAACCCGGATCACTCAGTCAGGCTCGCTGTAATTCTTACCATACCGAAGCCGAACCTAATATAACCATCC